CCAAGTGATTCCCCGTGGGCATCCATTCATCACGGCCACCAGATATACTAAGGCGGCCGAGTGATTAGTTTTCCAAATAGATCTTGGCGATGCTCACATCTATGAGGAAAAAGGAAAAACATTCGTTATGAGGTCCGCCATCCTGGGTTTGGTTTTCCTTGGTCTCCTTTACTTCTTTCTTTTCTTTTCCTTTTGTTGATGTTCGTTATTCATCCCGTCATCATTGACCTTTCTCCTGGCTCTTTGGCTTCAGTCCAGCGCATTCCGAAACCATATTATTGTTGTTGTACACGATGACCTCCAACACGGATGATACTGCTCGATCGGCTTCACACCGTTCCCCACCTACATCCCTACATGGCCCTGTTCCACATCTACCTCCTGATGATCCTACTTCGGCATCGTATATCCCTCGCGAAGCACGAACCATCCCGACCTCGACAACTGTTCATTCCATATTCATCAAGAAGCTGAACTACCCGTTGTCTAACCGTCCGGATGAACTTTGGGTCGTGGAAAGGACCACGGATGGTATTGAAACGTGGAAACCTGTGGAAACCTTTCTGAAGAACATGCACCTCACCACTGATCAGGCGACTCTACGTACCACGGCTAATCATTGGCGCCGACACTATGACGTACCAATTCAATCATCATCCTCCTCCTCTACGACTACTGCCGTTCCTGTTCTACCACACCCTGAACATTCCAATGTCTATGTTTCCCAACCGTATGAAGCAATACCGGACCAACTCTATATTTTGCAGTCATGCTGGGGACGCTCTGCGCAACATCACTCTCAAGGAACTACCACCTCCTTATACTGGCCACCATGGCGGTCTACACCACCTTCGTCACCACCGGCAACATTACAACGTACTTTACATCTCACTCGGCCTACCGTCCCTCCTCAACAAGTACAAGGTCCACTGGATGCGAACGATACGGACCCGATGGATATGTCAGACTCCAGTGTGTAATACACCACATTATTTGTCGGCACCGGAAAAGAACAGGGCTTTACCGTCTTTTTGTGACCACTTTCTAGGTAACCCGTTTCTCTTCAATTTTCAACACTTTGAGCTTTATTCCTTGGTCATTATCACCTATTCTGCAGCTTGGGCTTTCCGCTTTATCTTCGACACTCGACATTAGATGCCATGGCTCGTTCTTCTCGACCCAATCCATATCGCGCTACATCAACGATTGAGACACCGCTGGGTACACGAACCATTGGATGGTTTGCTGGACATCGAGGCATTCCTGGTGATGCAAACCCTCCTCCAAACCGACCTGTTCTTATCCTGGTTGACTTCTCTCCTCTACAGGCATTGACTCATCGTAGCGAGCCTGACCGTGAACACTACATGGCTATGGCCAGCTCCAATTTCAGAAATGTTAGTGGCTACGAACTGGAGGCTCTATTTACCTGGTCACGTCAGATGGAACCAGTTGAAGCCGGCCTCATCCCAATTGCCGAACTACGCTTCTGTATTTCCAAAAGATTGAGGTCCCAATGGGACATCCAAATTGATCCCTCGAATTTGGAGTTTCGCTTTTGCGACCTGGACGGTGATACATTCCAAGTCTCCAATGATATGACGGTCTTGCAGCTTTTGGAGGAATACCGACCTGAATGGCGACTTCGGCAGTACAATTCCCGCGAATCCTCTTTGCTCATTCCGGGTACCACACAGCCTTTTGTACTACGTCTGCAATGCTACAAAATTAGCTCCGGTGTGATCCTGCCCTGATACGCTTGCCGGCCAAAAAAGACCATACTGCAAGGTTTTCCACTCTCCCTTGACTCCTCACCAACACACAGGATTCTTTGATTCCTACTTTATTTGACTTTGTGCTGTGGCTTCTCCGCCGTAATTGAACCGCTTGATTGGGGACTGGACTTCACTTTTATTTTTTTCTTTGTGAATGTTATCTTTTTCGTGATTGGCTTATATTTGCAATTCTTGATGCCTCAGCCGCTGTTGCACTATTTCTCGCATTTCTAACTGTTTCACCCATGGAACACAAACGAGACGCGACCGTGGCGGGCTTGTCTTGGCCTTCGAATCCTACCCGTGGACTCGCTCCTACCAACCCAGTTCAAGTATCAGACGCCCAGACTTCTGCACTATCAGGCCCTCCCGACACTACTACCAGCCCTACGTCGGCACCTCTGGTCAATGACAGTATGGCTCCTGACACGGGTACTATGGCCCATTCTGATACATATTCAGGACCAGCACCTCCTGGCGTTCCTTTTCCGACGGAGTCAAGTTCTACACACAACTACCTCCATCGTGCTCAATTCTCTTCTCGCGTGGTTCACCAGATCCAATTCAAGGTCATTACCCACTCCAACAACACCAGGGAGCTATTCATTGAAGAAATCCCCTTGTTAGGGCATTCCCGATGTCGTGACCCTGAACACTATTTTTATGGTCTTTCGGGCAACTGGGAGTGGTCCCTGCGCACAGCGGACTATTGGCGACATCATTTTGAGATTCCCCTTGTACACGGACACCATCCTTTTCACAATGTGCCCATTGAGACGACATCTCCTGGAGATGAACCGAGCCTGACCACCCGGATCCATGAATTAGCCAAAGATCTATCTGATACCTTGAAGGCTGCTACGGCATCTGGGGAATTCGATCAGACTTGGGCGATGGTTGAACGCATGAGCTTCCACGATGCTATGGAAGTCCTTCTACAAGCTCCGAATTCCTCTTCTGATTGAAGTGATCGCCCGTTTGTGCATTAGGTTCTTACAGGTTCATTTTCACTGGTGTATTGCCGATTCCGCCAGCGAAGTTCTTCCAAAAAACCAACCTCGCTACATGCGAGGTGTGTGTGTACCATCTGAACAGATGTAAAACTTCTGATTTGTTTTTCACTAATTTGCAGGGGAGTGGTGAGCAATGATGAAGTCACCACTCAACGAAGACGCTTCATCATTTGCTGTGATATGACGAAGGGACGCCTTTGTCACGTACCTGCTTTTTTCGGACATAGCAAGGGGCCAAGCTAAGAACCCCAACCACAATCTTATACAATTTGCTGCACTGTTGTCGCAATCTGGAATTACTTTTGGTCATTTACTATTGATTCAGTTGCATCAGAACCTTCCTCAGAGCAAGGACGTAGAAAGCACCTATGTATTATTTTGTTTACATGATCGCCGACAACATCGTCGCCGATGGTATTCATCTAAGTTTCGCCGACGTTATTCTTCGCCGATGGTATTATTACTGGTTTATTCTTTTTGACGTCGATTCTGAACCCTATGACCATTCTGAAGTACTTCTATTATTCGTAGGATGCATTGTTAATTTCAGTGTTTCGTACTTAATCTGCATGTTTCAGGATTCAGTTCCTGCCGGATCATATAATGATCCATTCTTGTCTAGTGTGTGTGTGTGCGGCGGGTGCGGCTGCGATCGTACCGGGCGCGAATGGGTTCCCCCTTGCATGGTGTTCTGCAATATGTCGTCGTGCATGTGTGTGCATAGTTAAAGGACATGATGAGGGGGCAGGAGCCCCTTTTAAAATAAATAAAATAAAAATAAAATGAAAATAAAATGGGTCAGACCCCAGCATTTATTTTGTGGGTGCATTTTATTTTTTAAGGTGCCTAACCCATCAAGTGAACTGACAGAGATAGCATGATAGCAAAGATGCACAGCTGTGAACGGTCTGATCATTTTATGAAACGTTCCAGAGATATGTTGGAGGTTGGGTCTTGCCATTTTGGGAGTTTTCGGGTTTTCCTTCAAAGATGGTTAAAAGAAGAAAACAAGACAAAACAAGATCAACCCAAAAGAAAATGCCGGAGCCCGAGGTCCAACAGTTGCATAACGTAGGTCCAACAGTGGCCAGGTGGAGGGTGCCTGACGTCATTTTCTTTTTGTACCTGTCCATTGTATTTTGCTTGGGTTTTCCTATCTTACCGTATGCCCTCTCATTTTATTGGCATTTTGTCCTTAGGCCCCTGCATTTTATTTTATTTTTAAAGGGGTTCCACCCCCCCCTGGCAACAGACGAGGGTGTTAAAGGGATGTTAAAGGGTGTTTTGGAATCTGCGCTTGCAGATCGCAGTGCCATGGCTGCATGATTGTTGTCGCGTTTTGGTGCCATGTGTGTCGAGGCATGCGGGTTAGACACGTGATGCTGCAAAACGCACTGTAATGGCTGCATGACTGTTGCGTGGGGTGCGTTTTGGGGAGGAAGCTGGAGCACGAAACCTTGTGTTTTTCTGTGTAAAGTGGCTGCAGTCAGCGATGAAGGGTACGTTCTGTGTGCGGCGGGTGTGGCTGCAGTCGTTCCGGGCGTGAATCGGTTCCTCCTCTGTGTTCTGCAACGGGTGCCTGTTCGTGTGTGCGTCGTTCCGTGCGTTTTTTGAATCACTGGTTGCATATTGTAGTGTTATGGCTGCATGATTGTTGTTATGTTCTGTTGCCATGTGCGTAGATACGCGCGGGTTAGCCACATCATGCTGCAAACCGCATTGTAGTGGCCGCATGGCTGTTGCATGGGGTTTGTTTTGGGGAGGAAGCCGGAACGCGAAATCTTGTGTTTTTTCCGTGTAAAGTGGCTGCAGCCGGCGATGCGGCTGCGGTCGTTCAGGGCGACGAACCGGTTTCTCCTCTGTGTTCTGCAACGTGAAGGGTGAAGTCTAAGCTTTGGAACGCAAAGCATTGCTTGGTGTTGCATTGGGCCGGGGTTGCGCGCAGGTCATGTTCTTGGACAAGAAACACATGCACGCATGGGCCTGGCTGGCGCACGGCGCATGCAAGTTCTATTCTATAGGTGAGAAAGGTCTTATAGCAACTATAACCCTAAGGCGGCTTCCGCCTCGCCTCCTGCGGGTACTACTGGCATACAAATTTTACGAGTAATAGCGTGATCGTCAATGCAGCAAATCGAAGGCTTCTGAATTGGGTGGACCTACCTATTGGATGATCACACATATGCCGCATGCGCCTGGGCCCAAGCCAGAGGCAAGTTGCTGAGTGGAAGTGGGATGTTGGGCAAGTGAGGCAGCAGTCAGGGACAGAGTTTCACCGGTGGCGAAAAGGCCCAAAGAATTAGTCTTCAATTTGCAAAGACCACATCTTCAGTGTCAGACATTTTAGATTGCTAGGAAATTGCGGGTTCCAATATGTCGACATGTTTCAATGGTGTAAATCATAAAAAATGTTTGGGATACAGCTGGAGTACCGGCCTCCCATTGTCTCCCAGGTTACCTGGGGATTTGGAACATGGGCGTAAGCATCCCCAGCGGAAGGATCTGAAGAGGTGATGGGACATGATGAGACATGTCTTTTAAGCTTTCAAGTGACTTTAAGTGATTTCAAGTGTTGGTTCTAAAAAGCAAGGAGTTGTGCAAGGGCACTTTGATGTCCACAACGGGCATCCGTTTCACTCTAGCCAAATCCATAGCACCCCATGCAGTCACGCTTCGGAAAAGACGTGCTCCGGGCAAGCTGAAGGAGGACAGAAAATGGAGCCACAACTGGGTTCCACAATGTTTTTAAGAAGGGCCTGAATGAGAAGAAAACCGAACGGGCTGCCAGGCGAAACACAAGTCAAGCGGAGGAGCGGTGACATAAGATATTAGATAGCTTATCCACTTTTTTTTAACCATGATGCATTGCATCCTGTCTCTAAATCGGAGGCAGGTCAAGAGAAAGACGTCAGCCACAGAGTTTGCAACGCTGCGTGTCGCAAAAGGATAGCGATCAAAATAGACGTAAGAGTGAGTAAAGTACAGGTATGCAGGGCAAGTGACCCCATTCTTTCAACATACTTAACACCTTTCCGTCCCCAAATGTAACATCCCAACAGGTTTACGTGTCCCACACGGTTGACTATGGTGTGTCGTGCTTGAGTGTTTTTTGGCTAGGTCTGAACTTGACCACTCCATGTCCGAAATTGCCAGACTCCTTGAAAGGCAGGGGGCTCCAAACTAAACACTAGCAGCATTTGTCATGTTTTGGCCACCTGCCTTGCTGCTGCCCAGGGGAGACCTGCCGAAATCCATGGTTGCCACTGCGCGCGGTGTCTGGAGATTTGGGTAGTTTGCATACGGTGAATGTGAGTCAAGGCCCCAGGCCATTGTGGCCGGCTCCGGCTGGCTGTGGCCCGCCGTGGCTGGAAATTTGATGCCACTTGTGCTTTCTGCGAAGCCACTTGTGCTGCGCCACAGGTGTGCATCCTTTCCGGCTGTGGAGCATACTCTTCTTGATCCTCACATCCTTGCTGACGTTGTCCATCCTCATCCATGACATGGGTGCAAGTGTGTCTGTGATCAAATGCGCGGAAGGTGATTGCGTTGTCTACCGTGCTAAATAGGAAGTGCGAAGCCCTTCTGCCCTATCTCCTTGCAGTGCAGGACCTTGCATTGCTTGAGGAAGACCAGCGACCATTTATTCTGTTTTGCAGCCTAGATGATGCCTTGGCAGGATAAAGCAAAGCAATGAGAAGCACCTAGGGCCCTCGTGTACAGTAGTACTAAGTGGACCTTCCAAGACTTCCCAGGTCTATTCCAAACATGAAGTATGCCACTCCCTGCTTATGGGATTGCTTGACATGCCAGGATCTCGGTTGTGCCAGCTTCACAGACCAAATTGATTCAAGTGGAAGTTCTTTACTGCTTACTGCAGCCGCGGTGCTTGCCTGTTGGCCACCTGAGATACCTTGGCCAATGGTAGTTGAGGTGTCCGTGGCCGACTTCGGGCGCCCTACATGTGGTCCCAGAACCGCTGCTTCCTCGCAGTGCTGGCGAAATGCTCAGCATGATGGGGTGTGTGTGTGTGTGGCCATGACACAAGAAGGGTGCCGCAGATGTTCAAAAAAAAATTACTCTACTTCGTGTGATCCCCACCATGACATGTCAGGACGTATATTTGGACATATATTTAGTATATTCTGACATCCTATCTGACATATATTCTGGCATATATTCTGGCATTCTATCTGGCATATATCCTGACATTCCACCTGGCATTCTATCTGGCAGTCTATCTGGCATTCTATCTGACATATTTTCTGACATTTCATCTGACATATATTCTGGCATTCTACCTGTCATTTATTCTGACATATATTCTGGCATTCTATCTGACATATATTCTGGCATATATTCTGGCATTCTATCTGGCATTATATCTGACATATATTTTGGCATTCTATCTGACATATATTCTGGCATATATGTTGGCATTCTATCTGGCATTATATCTGACATATTTATTCTGACATTCTATCTGGCAGTCTATCTGGCATTCTTTCTGGCATTCTTTCTGGCATTCTATCTGGCATTCTATCTGGCATCCTATCTGACATTCTATCTGGCATTCTATCTGGCATCCTATCTGACATTCTATCTGGCATTCTATCTGGCATTCTTTCTGGCATTCTTTCTGGCATTCTATCTGGCATTCTATCTGGCATCCTATCTGACATTCTATCTGGCATTCTATCTGGCAGTCTATCTGACATTCCTACATGAGGTCCGGCAGGGAACACTTGGCGTGGATGGTCGCGGTTGAGGTCCGGCAGGGAACACTGGGCGTGGATGGTCGTGGTTGAGGTCCGGCAGGGAACACTGGGCGAGGATGGTCGTGGTTGAGGTCCGGCAGGGAACACTGGGCGTGGATGGTCGTGGTTGAGGTCCGGCAGGGAACACTGGGCATGGATGGTCGTGGTTGAGGTCCGGCAGAGAACACTGTGGATCGCGGGTCGCAGTTGAGCAAGGACGACGAGGACGACGAGGAGGACGAGGAGGAGGAGGAGAGGAGGACAAGGCAGGAGGAGGCGGAGGAGGAGGAGGAGAAGGAGGAGGAGAAGGAGGAGAAGGAGGAGGAGGAGGCAACTGACATAAAATCTAACAACCCTCACCTGGCAGGTGGGGAATAAATGGACGTCAAACGGATTCAAAAGGCTTGCGTTGATCACAGGAATGCATTGGCTTGAGACTCGAGCGCAACGCATGCATCATTTGGTTCAGACTTTTCAAGCCAGTTCTTTTAAAAAAGACTAGAAATGACAGATGCCTTTAACAAGTCTCAACATGGCCCGACTCGCAGGTGATGTTATGGTCGCTGCTTCAAGCCGTGGCCTTCATGGCGGTGGAGCCTGGCTGAATTGGCTGCGGCACAAGCCCCGATGCAAGACCTTGGCAACTTACAGTCAGGGCATTTAGTCGTATCGATTGTGGTGTTTTCAGTCAATTGTCAGTCAATTAAGTTGGGGGGAGCTTCCCGGGGTCGCATCAATTTTTGGTTGTACCATGCACAAATTGGGTATAGAAATGATTCAGAATGTGATTCATTTGGTGTACTTTTTTGCGGTTGTTCCTTGCGGCACCTGTTGTCATACATTGTTGAGAAATCATTTGTGCTGCTGATCTGCTTGCCAGGCTGCTGCCACACTGCTGCTAACTGCTGCTTCTGCTGGGCTGCTGCTAGCCTGCTTGCATCCTGACTTGCCCAATAGAAATGCTCCTTCAAGAGCAAGCGGCTACTTTTGAGATGCCTGCCCGCGTCCTTCTGCAATGACTACATTCTGGGTGTTTTATGAAGTATGTCTGGGCATCCTTCACCTGTCCAAGGTCGTTTCAGATCGTTTCAGGGGTCGTTTTGGGGTCGTTCCAGACGCCTCTCATCTTTGCCCACTAGATCCGAGTAAATCCTAGTAGATCCCAATACATTCCAATGCATCCCGGCAAATCCCACTAGATCCCGGGCCCACATTCTGGTGGCGTTTCATTCTGTATGCCGGCATGGTGCGCTCACCTGTAGCTACAAAGTCCAATCGTGAGCCTTCCTCCTAAACATTAACAGCAGTGAAAACATAAGATTTGTACGACAAGTCTTTAAATTGTCTTGTTGTAGAACCCTCAGAATACAGCATTCTCCCAAGCGATTTGGTATGGTTGATGTGACCATGATGTGAAGGGGTCGCACCCACTGCCCCCCATAGAACTATGCTGTCCCAAAAAAGTTGATGTGTGACTACAGGCTTTCACTGTATAGCCATCCCAAAAGAGCAAGCTTTTAGCCTGCAGCCATCATTATCCATCATTATCCATCAACAGATGTACGCCATTTAGTCCTTCTGAACAGGTCACGCCGCAAGCGACTCTTTACATCAGTTTGTCAGATGCAGCGGCTCGTACTTCGCTTGTGGCGGTAAGATTGCCCAATCGCTTGTGGCAGTAAGAACGTTCATTTTTACCTTCATTTTGACTGCCGCAGGTGATTTTTTTTTACTGCCGCGGGTGATTGCTGTTTTTGCGTGGCAGGTGCAGCATTTCAAGACCCAATCGCTTGTGGCGGTAAGATCGCGGTTGCTTCTTTTCAATCGCTTGTGGCGGTAAAAATCTGTCGCTTGTGGCGGTAAGTGTGTGTCCTTGATGCCAGGGTATTAAAAACCAATCACTTTTGGCAGTAAGCTGCTTTGCAGCACCTGCGCGCATACTTGTCTTCTATCCATGTGATTCTAAACATTGACTGGAACCATTGCAACGCTGACGTACAGAAGGTTTATGTTAACTTCTTTCTGTTGTGCAGGATTTCATTGTTTTCATTGATGTCTTGATTGAAGTTTAGATCATGTCTGTATCCTTTGAAGGGGATCTAACAAAGAGGGTTGGAGCAAGTTTTTAGGGCGCTATTCGACTCGGTTACCATAGGTAAAACATATGGCTTTTGATAGCATTTGGTGTGAATCCAACCCAGAGAGAATGAATGAAAGGAGAAAAGAAAGACCGACTTTTATCCAGGTGGAATTTCAGCTCGGCCGTGTTTTTCATGTCTTTTCGTTTTGCAGTTGGGTATATAGAACGCTACGGTTGATATATTGGTTATAGATACCGTGGCAATAGCCTCACGTTAGGATTTACATAGAACGGCGCGACCGCGACCTGACTTGTAGCTGTTGAGCGAGCGTAGTGATCCGTGTATCTCCATGGCAGGGTTTAGGGTGGAAACTTTACTTACATACCTAGCACATCATCATTAACCTTCTTCTCCTCCTCATCATCATCCTCCTCATCATCATCATCGTCATCATCACCACCTTCTTCCTCCTCATCATCATCATCATCAACATCGTCATCGTCATCGTCATCATCATCATCATCATCAGCTTCAACATCATCATCATTCTCATCCTCCTCCCTCCTCCTCTTTGCCGTCATCGTCATCGTCATCATCATCATCATCATCACCATCACCATCACCATCACCATCGTCATCGTCATCATCATCATCATCATCACCTTCATCATTTTCATCTACACTCTAGTACTTTTTGTACTTGCCCCAAACTGTTTGGGGTATCTTGCTAATACATGGTCCTCGTTTGTTACGTGTGGAACTGCCCGTGGTGCAAGATTCAGAGGGTGGATCGTGGGAGGGGGAACGAACTTGCAAGCAAATTTGACCAACTCAGCATTTATTTTTATATAACCAGTAGATTATGCATTTTGATACGTACAACGTACATAGCTACACATAGCAAGTAATACCTACCCCACCCCACCCCAGCAGTAGCTGATGATGAAAGAGCAGTGCCTGTTGCCGTGCCTGTGTGTGCACAGGAACATGAACGTTATTATCCCACCCCACCCCACCCCACCCCACCCACCCCACCCCAGCAGTAGCTGATGATGAAAGAGCAGTGCCTGTTCCCGTGCCTGTGTGTGTACAGGAACATGAACGTTATTATCCCACCCCACCCCACCCCGCCCCAGCAGTAACATGAACGTTCCGGAATCTTACTGCCGCAAGTGATTCTTGAATCGTTTTACAAGAGTCTTACTGCCGCAAGTGATTGATTCTTACTGCCGCAAGTGATGGAAAATTTCACTGCCGCAAGTGATCGAATCTTACTGCCGCAAGTGATGGTTGAGCCGATGCAGCCAGGTCTTGTATCCATTTTCACTACTGGTGTGCCTAGAGCTCAGTCTCTGCAGATGGACAGCACGGAGCTCAAAAAGGTGATTCAACCCATTGCCATTGACGTCGTCCAGGCATTTATGCCCCCGTGAAGATGTCGCGAATCATGGTTTCTGCCCCAGTGCCCAATCATGCCAGGGCGCCTTGGACGCCTTGGACGCCTTGGACGCCTTGACTCTTCCAGGAATTGCTGGTGCCGAGGTCTTTTTGTCCTCAATCCTGTGTATCTTGTGGTCGGTGGTCTTCATGGTCACCACAGCCCTGGTGGACACGCAGCCGTTGGGGACTTGGATTGAGTCAGCCTGTGGGCGCCTGCTGGCGGTTGGGAGTCTGGGGCACCTGGTGGCAGTTGACTACGGAGTTTCTACATGATGCATCGCATGCAAGTCCATCCAGGCCCAGGTTATATATATATATATATACATATGATCACAAACTCCAAAACTGCAAGGCCCCAAACCCATGAGCTTCCCAAAAAAAACATTACATTTTGATCGATAATTTCCAGAAACCCATCATGCAAGTGCTCAGCTTAAGGTATGCAGTGCTTTGGGGCCTCTCAGAGTCTTCTGTCAGCTGTCTTTGCCTCTGCCAGTTCCCTTTGAGCAGGCAGCGGCTGAGGGTGGTGGCGGAGTGTCTGGATGCATCTAGCTCCTGTTGTGGGGATGGGTCTCTGAAAGTTTTGCTGATTCGTCCCTCTCTAAAATTATCCACACACACATATATACACACACACACAGATAGATAGATAGATAGATAGATAGATAGACAGATAGATAGATAGATAGATATATATATATTGTATACAAGTTTACGGAAGTACTTTTACATAGAATATGCCGGAATTCAAGTTTGAAACCTCCTCGAAAAATTCGGGTACGCGCGACCAAGCGGGCCCAAGCGCGCCACCCAGTGCCATGAGTGCCACGCCTGCCACGCAAAACGACCGTGGATGTGAGATTGTGCCACGCCTGCCACGTGAAATCAAAGTGGATGTCACCACGTGCCACGCCTGCCACGCAAAAGTGCCGCGGCGTCACGCGCGACCAAGCGGGCCCAAGCGCGCCACCCATTGCCATGAGTGCCACGCCTGCCACGCAAAACGACCGTGGATGTGAGTTTGTGCCACGCCTGCCACGTGAAATCAAGGTGGATGTCACCAAGTGACGCCTGCCACGCAAAAGCGCCGCGATTGTGCCACGCCTGCCACGTGAAATCAAGGTGGATGTCACCAAGTGCCACGCCTGCCACGCAAAAGTGCCGCGGCGTCACGCGCGACCAAGCGGGCCCAAGCGCGCCACTCTGTGGATGTGAGATTGTGCCACGCCTGCCACGTGAAATCAAGGTGGATGTCACCAAGTGCCACGCCTGCCACGCACAGTGCCGCGGCGTCACGCGCGACCAAGCGGGCCCAAGCGCGCCAGCCAGTGCCATGAGTGCCACGCCCGCCACGCAAAACGACCGTGGATGTGAGTTTGTGCCATGCCTGCCACGTGAAATCAAGGTGGATGTCACCAAGTGACGCCTGCCACGCAAAAGTGCCGCGGCGTCACGCGCGACCAAAGCGGGCCCAAGCGCGCGCCAGTGCCATGAGTGCACGCCTGCCACTCAAAACGATCATGGATGGTGAGTTTGTGCCACGGCCTGCCTTGCAAAACGACGGTAGATGTGATATGTGAAAGATGGTGTGTGACAAAGTTGTAATGTGAAAGACGGTGTGTGACAAAGTGGGTGTGAAAGATGTGTGTGACAAAGTTGTATGAAAAAGTTGTATGTGAAAGATGGGGTGTGACAAAGTTGCACCGGCGACCAAAACCAGCCCAAGCGTGCCACCAGAGCCAGCCTAGTGCCATAAGTGCCACGCCTGCCACGCAAAAACGAAGGTGGATGTGACATGATGTGACCAAGTGCCACGCCTGCCACGCAAAAGTGCCGCTTGTCACGCGCGACCAAGCGGGCCCAAGCGCGCCACTCCGTGGATGTGAGATGTCCACCTGCCACGTGAAATCAAGGTGGATGTCACCAAGTGTCACGCCTGCCACGCACAGTGGCCGCGGCGTCACGCGCGACCAAGCGGGCCCAAGCGCGCCACCCAGTGCCATGAGTGCCACACCTGCCACACCTGCCACGCAAAACGACCGTGGATGTGAGATTGTGCCACCCCTGCCACGTGAAATCAAAATGGATGTCACAAGTGCCACGCCCTGCACGCAAAAGTTGCCGCGGCGTCACGCGCGACCAAGCGGGCCCAAGCGCGCCAGCCAGTGCCATGAGTGCCACGCCCGCCACGCAAAACGACCGTGGATGTGAGTTTTGTGCCATGCCTGCCCGTGAATCAAGGTGGATGTCACCAAGTGACGCCTGCCACGCAAAAGCGCCGCGATTGTGCCACGCCTGCCACGTGAAATCAAGGTGGATGTCACCAAGTGCCACGCCTGCCACGCACAGTGCCGCGGCGTCACGCGCGACCAAGCGGGCCCAAGCGCGCCACCCAGTGCCATGAGTGCCACGCCTGCCACGCGAAACGACCGTGGATGTGAGATTGTGCCACGCCTGCCACGTGAAATCAAAGTGGATGTCACCAAGTGCCACGCCTGCCACGCAAAAGTGCCGCGGCGTCACGTGCGACCAAGCGGGCCCAAGCGCGCCACCCAGTGCCATGAGTGCCACGCCTGCCACGCAAAACGACGGTAGACGTGATATGTGAAAGATGGTGTGTGACAAAGTTGTATGTGAAAGATGGTGTGTGACAAAGGTGGGTGTGAAAGATGGTGTGTGACAAAGTTGTATGACAAAGTTGTATGTGAAAGATGGTGTGTGACAAAGTTTTGTGTGAAAGATGGTGTGTGACAAATTTGTATGTGAAAGATGGTGTGTGACAAAGTTGTATGTGAAAGATGGTGTGTGACAAAGTTGTGTGTGAAAGATGGTGTGTGACAAAGTTGAGTGTGAAAGATGGTGTGTGAAAGATGGTGTGTGACACAGTTGGGTGTGAAAGATGGCACTGGGTGGCGCGCTTGGGCCTGCTTGGTCGCGCGTGACGCCGCGGCACTGTGCGTGGCAGGCGTGGCACTTGGTGACATCCACCTTGATTTCACGTGGCAGGCGTGGCACTTGGTCACATCCACCTTCGTTTTGCGTGGCAGGCGTGGCACTCATGGCACTGGGCTGGCTCTGGTGGCACGCTTGGGCCGGTTTTGGTCGCCGGTGATGCCGCGGCACGTTGCGTGGCAGGCGTGGCACTTGGTGACATCCACCTTCGTTTTGCGTGGCAGGCGTGGCACTTGGTCACATCCACCTTCGTTTTGCGTGGCAGGCGTGGCACTTATGTCACTGGGCTGGCTCTGGTGGCGCGCTTGGGCCAGTTTTGGTCGCTGGTGACGCCGTGGCACTTTGCGTGGCAGGCGTGGCACTTGGTGACATCCACCTTCGTTTCGCGTTCTTTCACACACCATCTCTTACACATTTTGCACCCAACTTTTACACACCATTTTTGACACCCAACTTCGTCACACACCACCTTTCACATACCATCCAGGGTTGCTACTCCCCAAAGGGAATTAAATATATACCCTTATACATGCAAGAGTTTAAAGAAACTATGGCAAATCTCAATCAAAGCCCTGGCAAACCATCACAATTCACGTCTGTTTTCTGTTAGTTCATCACTCCCGTATTTGGTTTGGGTCAGCAAAACTGTGCCGAAGTTTTTTGAAGGATTTTATGGTGTTTTGGTGGATTTTAGTGGGGTGAGCAACTTGAAAAATGTCCATTTATGCCGGTGATATTTTGAGAATTCATAAGGTTTTAGTGGGGTGAAAATTTGAACACTGTCCATATGCTGCAGTACGGATGATATTTTGATAATTCAAAGGATGTGAGTGGGCTTAAAATTCGAAGAAGGTCCATTTATGTCCATTTATGCTGCGGTACGGGTCAAATTTTGATAATTCAAAGGAGCGTTTAGATGAACATTTGAAAAGTGTACATTTATGAAAATTTATATTGCAGTACAGATGATATTTTGATAATTCAAAGGATTTTAGTGGGATGAGAATTTGAAAAATGTCCATTTAATTATGTCCATTTATGCTGCAGTACGGGTGATATTTTGATAATTCGAAAAAAATCAAAAAACATCTTCCAGAATTGAAAAAATACTTTATGTGCACTCCTGGGATATTCTATGTACACCGTTTTTTTTTCAATTCTGGAAGATGCCCCACAAAATTCAATTGTATATTCTATGCACGGGTACTTTCCTATATACATAGTATATGTATGTGTATGTGCAATATTTCTATGATTTTCATTCCAACAAATGGGCGACCCATGCAAGGTAACCGCCAGGTCAGTTGCAGGATTTCCAAATCTGATGACTTGCCGTGGGGCATCCGCTTGCTGCCACAGGCCCGTGGTTCTGCGCGTCTTGGTCCTCGGCACCGGTGTGTCCCAAGCTGAGTTGAGCCACCGATAATCATGCCATTGAAGGTGGCTGGCCATTGGTTCTTCAGGGCCGGACTTTTTGTAGGATATATTCACACATACGACATATTTATGTACACTATATATCATCATATATTATCATATATTATCATATATATATATATCATATATTATCATATATTATCATATATTATCATATATTATCATATATATATATCATATATTATCATATATATATAGCCTTTGTCTCAAAGGTGCATGGATTGGCCTGTAGCAGTAGGTTCTGCTAGCGCAGTTGCATCCACTCTCATATTAGCTCTCCTAACCTTTGTTCAGGAACCATTCATTGATCCACCTCGGCTTCAACTGCCTCTCCATTGGCCTCAGTTTGAATTGGCCCTCGGGGATATTCCACAGTGGACATTTGCTGCTGGGGTGTTTTGTGGCTTGCTGATTGTGCCCCTGATTGACATTTTGAGCCTGATCTTTCTTGGGTGGCGGCGATTCATCTCCTGGGCGTTCGCACAAGAGCAGCGGCGTGGTGCAAGACAGTCACGTGAAACCTCTCGGCCACTTCACAAGGTGGTTGCACGAGCAGGCCAGCTCACTACTGGACTTGAAGGTGAGAACAGCAGGTTACGAGACAAGGTTCGACTGCTTCGAGAAGAACTGAGGAATTTGACACTGAGGGTCGATCAATCAGATCAGCGAGCTTAGCGATTCTGTGTCTGCCACCTCCAGTGATTTGATCAAGGGTGTCAGTTCGGTTGGTGCCGCAAGTTCTGTACCAAACGCAGGTGCTGCAGGGGCTGAGGTGATTGATCCAGTTGGGCCTTATTCCTGGAGCTTGCGTGAATCAGTTGCTCGAGAGATTGGTGCCTTGGACGGTGAACATCGAGGTGAGTCAGGTCGTGACAAGATCAAAGGTTTGCAGAGTCAGTTTTCATTGGGGTTTCGTCCTAGCATGCACGAGGCGCCCCTTGCCATCGCGGGAACTGGCCTACAGTGGCCTCATAGCTCTCGATGAGTCAACCGTCTGTTGACGGTGAGACTCTTTCCGACCCGGAGCCTCGCAGCGAAGTGATTGGGCCGGAAGTGGCACTTGGGCCACGAGATTTTGTTCTTGCTCAAGAAGACGGATCCTCTGATCGTCTCTGCCGAGTTGGCCGGTTGGTGCTTCCAGAGTCAGGGCTGGTCACTGCCATTGCAGTTGCCGACATTGACGGCAAGCTCCTAGTTATAGTTGCTGTGCCAGAGCCTGTTTGGAATAGGGCCGTGGCAAAAAGGATTCTTCCTCAGCGAGCTCTGAACAAACCCTTGCTGTGGCTTGAAACCCGGAGAGCCGCGAGTCGCTAGGTTTTGAGGCAGTGGACATCAAGGTTTGGTTTGGTTTTCTATTTTTAATGTTGGAAGCGGACGTGGATTTTTGTGTCAGAAGAGGAGTTCTTCTATGAGTTCTTCTACGACATTCTCCGTCCCCAGGCTCACCACGCCTCTGCCACGGCCCCCCTGGTCAGGGCACAGTGATTTCAGAAGTTAGAGCTTGCGATGGAAGGCGTCCAGAAAGGTCTTCAACAGACGGGTAGGAGCCTCCCCAAAAAGAGTCTTGCGCGTCCTCTTCCACCGCCTCCAGCGAGCAAAGCTGGGAAGCCCAATGGACCAAAGGTCAGCTGCAGTGGCGAATTGCTGGAATGGAGCCAGAGGTTGTGCAGTCAGCCCCTTGCAGCGGGCATTTCTATGGAACACCTCCTGGAGATGGAGGCAATCTTGCGGGGAAAGCCCAGAAGGATAGAGGAGTTGCCTCGGCAGAAAGTGCCAGCGAAGGTGCGCAAAGGTCCTCTCAGCGAAAGCGAGGAAGAAGAGGAGGTCGACGAAGAGGGTGGAGGTGCTCTTTTAGAAGGGCCTGGCGGCCAAGGAGATGGAGGTGGGAGTGCCAGCAACATGGAGAAGGCCATCGTCAAATTGACTGCCATAGCCTCGAAGCTTGCTGGACCCAAAGACAGGAGCAAGTTGGAAGCGCTTCTGGACGGAGGCAGTGGTGGAGCAAGTGGAGCAGAGAGCAGCTCAGGTCTGGGTTCCAGAAGAATGCCGCGGTCATGAGAGCTTTGCAGAAAGTTTTGATGAAGGATCCGAAGTACATCTTCAGTGCGATGGCAAGCCAACCTGCAGAGGCGGGCCTGCAGTTCAGGGATGAAATCTTAGGCACACTTCAGATCAGCAAGAGCTCTGGCCTGACGCCAGGTGGGATCAGGGGTGGTGGATGTGTTCATGCTTATCAAGCTCGAGTCAGTTTGCCCACACTTCTCTGGCATATGATGATCAAGCACCTTCAAACTTAAACATTGGAGAGCTCTCTCCAAGAAGTAGTGGCATCCACAGTTGTCAGCGAGCTCCCAAAAGAGACTAGGGAAAAGATCTCTCGAGCTGCTACGTTGGCACCTTTCTTCACGCATGCTCTCTCTTTACGGAAACCTTTTGCTGTTCTCAAGACATAGTGCTGGTGCTGAGCCAAGCGCAAGCCTGAGCCTTGGGCCCGCCACGAACTGGAAAGACGAGCAGCTGTCTTGCATTCAACTGGAGCCTCCTTTTGGTTTTTCCATGCGTCCCAGCTTCGCTGGAGCTCTTTTTTTTAGCTGAGCCAGGTTGGAAAAGAAACCTTTTTCATGTGCAGCCGTGGGAGTCGGATGCTCCAAACACATATATAGGTATATATATATAGGTATATATATATATATAGGTATATATATAGGTATATATATATATACATAGGGGTATATATATATACATAGGGGTATATATATATAGGTATAAATAACTAACTAACTAAATAAATAAATACATGAATGAATACATATATAAATATATATAGGTATAATATATATAGGTATAATATATATATATATATATATATTTGTATATAGGTATATAGGTATATAGGTGTATAGGTTTATAGGTATATAGGTATGTGCGTGTGAGAAAAGATCTATTCTTTTGTCTAGTTATCCCACCTTTTTGTATCTTATCTGATTTTATTTTATCTTGTCCAATCTTTGCTTCCCTTTTCAGCTTATCTTATTTTTTGATCTGATCCAACCCTATCCCTAAGCATCTATCTTTTTATCTGCGCGCACATGCACAGGACATACTTATGTGTACGTATGTATGGTATGTTTAGTAATGTTAATGTACATGCACGTGTACATGTACATGTAAATGAGGCATTCTGATTATGTACTTCTACATGCACACAGGCAGACAACCCAACCCTGGGTTGAGGTGTTGGCACTCCATCAACCTTACACTGCGTGCCCTCAAGGGGCTCCGAAGAGCACAGTGGGCCAACATGTCCAGAACCCAAGGGGTGACGGCTATGTGACATAGCTAGAGCTGCCAGTTAGAATTAATAAATTGCGGGTATCTTAGCTGCCCCAACAAAAATGTTTTTTTTGTTTAGGCAAAAGTGTTTCATGGAGGAACTGGATCGGACCCACAGGTGCGCAGGTGTTAGTTTTGACATGCAGTCTGAATCTACCAGTGCGCTGGGTGCCATGCAAAAGGTTCGGTGAACCAAATGCAATTCCTTCTGCTGCCGGGATTAGCAGGGGGTCAAAATGGAGTCTTGCCTCTTGACATGTCTTGATTGCTTGACCTGCTGAGGTTCAGTGTGCTTTATGCTGTTCCAGTCGAGGCGTTCCCTGTAGTCTGGGAGAGACCTGAGGAGCTCTGCGCGGTGCTGCATAGCCGGACTCCTGTGCGGTGAACCCTGTAGTAGTACTATATTATAACTCGCACACACGTCAGTTTGGGGTTGCTACTGCCAAAGATCGGACACCCCGTTGTTTTTGAGATGTTCTCAAGAGAGGGATAAAAATTTACTATTACTATATGTGTATGTATACATACTCATATATATATACACACACACATACATAGGAGCCACGTCTAGAGGGCAGGGCAGGGACCTGGCAGATGTGTGGAGATTCGCTCGCTTCAGGAGGCTGGCGGCGGGCCTATCCGTTGGAGAAAGGATGGTGAGGCCAGACTGGCGCGCCTGCACCGTCATGCTACGGTTTTCCAGGGATCCAAACTCACCCATGAGCATCTGGAGTTGCAACCTGTTTGCAGAAGCTTAGGGACTATATAAAAGTGGTGAGGTTCTAGCCCCAATCACAAGGGGTATCAGTCAAAATATGCACCGTAGATAATAGTAAACCCATCCCACTAGTAACACTTATATATTGTTTCTCTATTTTGAAGGGCTGCGAACCAACTGGCAGCTGATTCTGGCCACAGGCTGTGCAGTCAGAGCCCGCTTTCGATCCCTTTTGCCTGATGGACCGAGGGTTCGGATGAACAGGTCATGCAAAAAAAACATGGCCGCTCTACTGAATAGATGGGAATAGGAAGACACAGGACAGAGTAGACTGAGTAGACTGGGACAGCTTGTGATTTTCAATGCTGTAGCTGTAGTACGATATCTTCCGCTGATCGCTGATCTTTCTAACTAGGACGAGCAACCCGAGAGTGTCAGGGTATCTCAGATGTTGGCTGAGAAGGCTCTAGAGCTGTTTGGGCCGCAATGTGGAGCGAGGTTGGACCAATAGAAGATTTTTAGAAAAGAATCGTTGGCATGGGGGATCATATTTCCCGACCATGGGAATTTGGTATATTGTAATGGGTCCAAAATTAAGATTCAGGGGACCACAAATTTTACTATATTTTTTGTAGTAACCATCTCATCAATTGATTCCATCCATGTCTATCCCTCCAGGGCGTGCAATGAATTTTCTGAGGCTTGGACCCGTGCCATCATTGCACCTGTGCCAGTCAAGGATGACTCGCGTTTGACAGCTGGAGGTCCCAGAGGTGCTAACTGCAGGTAGGATTTGTTGGAAACAATTGGATACCTTTTTTAAGAGTTTTCTGTTCAGCTTCTCACAACAGAGAGGGCTTGCATCGGCCAAGCAGATCCGAGCAGTGAATAGCTCGATCTTCTGTTAGCGGCTGAATTGTGAAGGACTTGTGGAAACAGGATGAAGCAGGGCTCGACAACTTTGAACTGTTTGTTCACCACCTTCACGGGATGTCACAGGTACAGCCCCGTCCCTGGCCGAAATCGCAAAGTAAGCACGTACTGTAGCCCCAGGTTTGGGAGCCTTACTTGGGCACGCTGGATATGGAAATTGGCTTGGGCCTTTTGTGGATCCACGGCAATCTGTGGAACTAGTACCGAGACATACTGGAACCCTGTTCTGTTTCTGTGGTGAAGCTTTCAGTTTCTCGTGGCTGCACCAGGTTGGTGTGGATTTCCGCGCCCAGTTGGTGGGGAGCCAGCCTCAGAGGGAAGCAGATCTCGCTGCGATCTGCGATGATCCGGCAGATCCGTGACAGTGGACACTGTCGAGGCCTGGGAAAAAGACTGCTCTGATTACGAGAGCGACAAGCTGAATGTCACGGACGTGGAGCCTGAACCCGCCCAGCCAGCAGGGGGTCCTAGATGGAGGTCTTCCCTGCAGCTTTTCTGCGGGTCCTGGGAGGATGAGAGGCTCCCAAAGTTGCTTATGCAGCTCATTTACTAGAGGTTATAAAACGGCAGAGTGCCCCTTCAAAATTTGGACTGTGGTCACTTCCACTGTAATTAGCTATTGGAGAAAAGCACCTTTCAAACCAAGTAGGTGGGTTGATCTTTAAAATCCCTCACACCTAGATACACCTAGTATTGCCAGTATCACAGATGGAGCCAAAGTCATAGCGGACGCTGACCGACCAAAGGAGTTGCAGATCAGCATCTCCAACGGCAGCGACGGCCTCAACGGCCAACATGGCAGCCAACATGGAAGCCAGAATGGCAAGCAAGGCGTTTGCGGGCATCATGAGGTTATATATTGTTTATATTACGTCCTTTGGGGATCTAAGGGCCCCAGTGGGATGCGAGCTTCTCCGTTTTTAAACTTCATTTTGCTCAACCAAGTGGAACGATGCTGATGCAACATGACATCCTGGTGAAATTTCAACTTAACATGGCGTGCACTTGTGCGCAGTACGGAGCCATCTCTCCTTCATAGTGTGCCATGTCCATTTTTAGTGATTTTTTGGGTCGCATGACATGCCAGGCCAATGGTCCAGGAAGGTGCAGAGCTGGACTGGTGGGCTTGTTGGAAGGCAACTTGGCAGCTGCGTTTGCTCAGCAGGTCAAGCCGAGACCTCCTCCGATGCAACACTTGCAGTTGGACACCGAAGGGGGCGAGGCCGCTGCAGATGCTGAGCTTTTTTCATTTAGATGCGCAGCAGCAGTTGACACCAGGGCAGTGAGGATGATCAGTTGGGGGCGCCAGAGCTAACATGACGTGCTGTGATGTGAGCAATCCAAGCATCTAACGGCCTCAAGATGTTCGTTAGGTCAAGTAGATTTCAGAGGTTCCAAGTGGAATCAGAGTTGATCTTTAAGTGCTCAGCTCAGCCCTGACAGCTTGGTAGAGCCCATCACGAGGCTGCAGGCGCTTCGAGACATGGAGGCACCTCAGAGCAGGCAACCGCAGGGCAGATTTCTATGGCCTTTGGATGTCTCAAAAGCATTCAGAAACTGTTGATGCTTCGAAACTTCCACTTCAGCCAGGACCAACTCGTCCTCGAATATGTACCACCGGCGCCTGTCAGATGCACAGGGGATCTTCCACACTGAAGGCTGGAGTGCGGCATGAGGATGTGGCTTAAGAACTGGGACCTACTGGGACAGCTTGGGCCTGACGCCTCTCACTATCACTCAAGCAGCAAGTCAACAAATTGGTTGGAGCGTTTCATGGATGTTCAGGGGTTGAGTTGTAGACCTATAACATCCTATAACTTTATAATGAATTCTAGAAAGGACCTGCTTTTTTTCCGACCCTTGGATTTGCCTGTCAGACAAGCGACCGCCAACACCAGCCCGCCTGGGTTCCGCTGGATCATCGAGACAGCACAGTCCAACGGATCAAGGCACTCAGCGGAAACATGGGAAGTGGAACCATCAAAGGGTGTGAAAAGTGAAAGGATGATAACAAAAAAGCATTATATATCAGGTATCAATAGTTATCATACATATACACTAAGAATATTATATAATAATGATAATAATAGTAATGATAATAATAATACTTTTACCGGTTCGGTTCGGCCGGTTCTAAATTGTTGCGGTTCTGACGGGTTCGGTACCACGGCTCAGTAGCGGTTCCGGTAGCATCATGTGATAATAATAATGGTAACATCATGAATCATGATAATAATGCTGATAATGTTAATAGTAACGACAATAATAATGATAATCATGATGATAATAATAATGGTAATAAAACTGAAAATAATAATGATCGTAAAAATGATAGCAATAATGACAATAAAAATGGTAATACTCATGATAATAGCAATAATGATGACAATGATAATAATAAGAATGATGCTGATAATAAATAATGACAATAATATGGTAATATACAGATATAAATGCATAAATAAAAAGTGAACATGTATTTACAGTTCTATCTCTCTAAGGTCCCTATCTTTCTATCTATCTTTCTATCTATCTATCTATCTGTTCTATCTATTCTATCTATCCTATCTATCCTATCCTATCTATCCTATCTATCCTATCTATCCTATCTATCCTATCCTATCTATCCTATCTATCCTATCTATCCTATCTATCTATCCTATCTATCTATCCTATCTATCTATCCTATCTATCTATCCTATCTATCTATCCTATCTATCCTATATATCCTATCTATCCTATCTCTCCTATCCTCCTATCTATCCTATCTATCCTATCTATCCTATCTATCTTATCTATCCTATCTATCCTATCTATCCTATCTATCCTATCTATCCTATCTATCCTATCTATCCTATCTATCCTATCTATCCTATCTATCCTATCTATCCTATCTATCCTATCTATCTTGTCTATCCCGTCTATCCTGTCTATCCTATCTATCCTATCTATCCTATCTATCCTATCTATCCTATCTTTCCTATCTATCCTATCTATCCTATCTATCCTATCTATCCTATCTATCCTATATATCCTATCTATCCTATCTTTCCTATCTATCCTATCTATCCTATCTATCCTATCTATCCGATCTATCCGATCTATCCGATCTATCCTATCTATCCTATCTATCCTATCTATCCGAACTATCTTATCTATCCCATCTACCCTATCTATCCCATCTATCCCATCTATCCGATCTATCCGATTTATCCGATCTATCCGATCTATCCTACCTATCCTATCTATTCTATCCTATCTACCCTATCTATCCTATCTATCCTATCTATCCTATCTATCCTATCTATCCTATCTATCCTATCTATCCTATCTATCCTATCTATCCTATCTATCCTATCTATCCTATCTATCCTATCTATCCTATCTATCCTATCTATCCTATCTATCCTTTATCCTATCTATCCTATCTATCCTATCTATCCTATCTATCCTATCTATCCTATCTATCCTATCTATCCTATCTATCCTATCTATCCTATCTATCCTATCTATCCTATCTATCTTATCTATCTATCTATCTACCTATCTATCCTATCTATCCTATCTATCCTATCTATCCTATCTATCCTATCTATCCTATCTATCCTATCTATCCTATCTATCCTATCTGTCCTATCTGTCCTATCTGTCCTATCTATCCTATCTATCCTATCTATCCTATCTTTCCTATCTATCCTATCTATCCTATCTATCCTATCTATCCTATCTATCCTATCTATCCTATCTATCCTATCTATCCTATCTATCCAATCTATCCTATCTATCCTATCTATCCTATCTATCCTATCTATCCTATCTATCCTATCTATCCTATCTATCCTATCTATCCTATCTATCCTATCTATCCTATCTATCCTCTCTATCCTCTCTATCCTATCTATCCTATCTATCCTATCTATCCTATCTATCCTATCTATCCTATCTATCCTATCTATCCTAGCTATCCTATCTATCCTATCTATCCTATCTATCCTATCTATCCTATCTATCCTATCTATCCTATCTATCCTATCTATCCTATCTATCCTATCTACAGCCTATCTACAGCCTATCTACAGCCTATCTATCCTATCTACAGCCTATCTACAGCCTATCTACAGCCTATCTATCCTATCTATCCTATCAATCCTATCAATCCTAACTATCCTATCTATCCTAACTAT